GTGAGCTTTTGCTAAGCAATACGAGCATGAACAGAAATTACTATGTACAGTTGAAACTCAGGTATTTGAAGATTCATTATAAAACACTTTGATAGATAGTAGGGAATGCAACACTTTTCAGTCAATTCCACTTGTATTGATATCTCAATATCAATATAAAAATAATATACGAGTATAATTATGTGCTGTATTCTTATTTGTTGTTTTAATTCAATTTTTTTATACAGTACTTAAACAAAGAGTATGGTATTACACTTTATGTACATAGGAATTATTTTATGATTATTCTGTTAACATGAAATATTTTGTGTCTACCTTAAGCACACTTTAAAAGATCTACAGTAAAAATGCAAGTAAGGGTCATTTTTAATACTTTGACTTTTATAACTTAATCATATTTATATAAACTTTCCTTTCAAGAATATTTACATTTAAATAAAATTAAATTGCCTGTATGAGTTTTCAAAAGGCTAAATATAAATATGGTCACAAATTTTGTAAAAATAATTGAAATAATGTATATTTAATCTATTCTGTAATTTTGATTAAATGAATAAAACACTTTATTTAATTTTATCCATGAAATATGGTGCTATATCAGTCAAATATATTTCATATTTTTTAAAAATAAATATGAAATATAAATATGAAAGTGGGCAAAACTCATAACTCATATTTATTTTAAGGGACTTCTTTTGCCATTTTGTTTAAAAAATCTGATAAATACAAAACATTTTTTTGTTGAATTTTGTTTTGAAAACTATCTAGAATGATAGAAAATGGTCCAACTAAGAAAATAAATCCGAACACAAATATCTTTAATTCAGCCATTAACGCTGTACAGACGTTCAAAGAGTTGTTTACGTGACGTCACAATGTAGCGCCAAATATCGCGTGCAGCAATATATTACTGCACGTTGTACAGTTGCAGTTCCGTAGCAAGCAAGGGGATTCGTCACCATTTTCTTTGATAATGAAATTAAATAAAAAGGTTATTTTTTCGTTTTTCGTGAAATATGGTATATATTTTCACTCAACATGATAAAATGCTACATATTTTCACTCGCCGTCCCGGCTCGTGAAAATATGTGGCATTTTATCATGTTTCGTGAAAATATATTCCATATTTCTCTCAAACGAAAAAATATCCTCTTATTATTACTTTATTTATAAGAAAATATAAAAAAATAATATTATGATAAAATTCAAGTTTTAAACTTTACATAATTTAACCAATAACATCATTTGATATAACCAAAAAGAATCAAAAACTTCTCTTTTAAACACATTAGTTCCATATTTCAACATTTGACATTTTCCTTTTAAAACAATAATTTATTATCAACTCTTGAAATATTCTCTTATTGACTAGAAACTACTTTTACTGAAATATGAAAAGAAAGTATACCACATTGTTCTAACAAGAATCATTTTATATACACTAACAAGAAGTATATACAATAACAAGGAAAGCATTTCTCTTTACTGTTTAGACTGTCATTAAATCTTATAAATCAAATGGGAAAATACCCTCTATAGAAACATAAATCTTCGCATAATATAATTGTCTCTGGGCATTTATTTAGAGTAAAAACAGTCCCATTTATAAGAGTAATTACAGTCATATATATTTTATGAATATTTAACATGACACCCTGTTTCATTTGATGCAATAGAATATATGGGAAAATGTAGCCTCACTTTAAATTGTTTTTCTGCTTTCATATACTATGACTGAGCATTTTGAAAATAACAAATGATTATCATTCTACCTTATTTTAAGGGTGAGATAACTGAGATGGAAAGTGATATGAACCAAAATCACACACTTATTGCTGAACTCACAAAAAGTGAAAATGTTGCAAACTTGATATGAATGTCTTGTTCTTGGGTGGCAGTGATAAATGCATTTTAACAAGCACATTCAATTCTAGGAAATGTTTTACAGTTCATTTTACTTCATATTTAACTATGCATAGTAGCATGTAATCATTTTGAACTTTACTCAAGAAACATTTGATAAGAATATCCATATTATAAATTTCTGTTGTTTTTATCAATATTTGAAACACACATAAAAATGTGTCCATATCAGACTAATTCTCTTAAAAACATTGTTAAAATTGATAGTATTATCATCATACTAATAATTTAAAATTCAAACACTGTCTAAAACTTACTGGCATTGTCAGATATAGAGACAGACGAAGAGTTGTACATTATTGTCCTAACCAGAAGATTGAATAAAAAACAGTTATATTATTAAAATAAAAAAATACAATGATATAAAAGTAGATAATGATAAATTATAAAATGTTTACCTAATAAAACAAAACACGTGAATATTACTACCTCAAGTAATTTTCACTACAATTTGCATGCATTTGATAAAAACAATTGCAGACTTGTTAAAATATAAAGTAAAAATGTACTTATATCAGATAAAAATTTTCATATTTAACCTTAAAAGGTTCATTTTTTAGCATCTTTGTAGATTAGAAAGGTGTATACTTAAATTCCAATAACACAACTTAAATGACTTCATTTCAGCTTCATTTTAACAAATTAATTTGTAATCAGGATACTCTCTCCATTGATCTAGAAAATGACATAAGTACAAAATAATTAGGTTTCAAAATGAATTAAATAAAAAATAATACATGTATCAAATATAAAGACATGCAATCAAAGCATAACTCTAAAAACAAGTTTTTAAATCATATAAAAAATAGATTTTGATTTTGGAATATCTATTTTAACAAATAGGAATGCTTAACATAGTAACATTTTTTGGAATGCAACAGCACAATAATTGTTGTCATAGGAATGTTAAATATACAATGTATCTTTCAACAAGGAAGAATTCACTGAATTTAACTACAAATATTTCAATGTATTTTAACAAGAAATACTTCAATGTATTTTAACTAGAAATACTTAAATGTATTTCAATAATAAACAGTTCAAAGTATTTCAAATAGAAATTATTCAATGTTTTTTTTTTCAAGCATCAATTTCTCTAGATGCATTTCCACTCTTTAATGTATCTTCCTTGAAGCAAGAAATAATTTCAATGTATTTCAAGCAGGAATAAATTCAATGTAATGTAACCAAATGATATTCAAACAGCAAAACAAAATACTGCTACACAATGTTTGAAATGACTGTAATACCAAATTTTCTGATTAATAAGTTGTAACAATCCCAATGATTCAACCTTAGATTTATCCAGCTATAGTTTTAAGATGGTGGAGATTCATTGAGAAATGAACAATAATTGTGTGTATGGTTAGAGAAATATAGATTTAATCTCAAAAACTGAGAAAATTTGACAGAAAATGGAGGGGCTTGTATAATCTTAAATTTAGAAGCTATGCATAGATGTAAATTATAAAATCTTAACAGTATTATGTGGTATTACTGGTTATATCATTTTATCATAATTACTATACAATTGCAGAGGATTACTATACAGAGGGTGTTTACTTTAGCAAACAATAGATTTATGATAAATAACATTTTACTATCAGTATTTAACTTAGTTTTTAAGACGGCAGAAATTAAAGCATTACTCTAATGTAACACATCTAATTGCTTTCAAGAAATCATAAGAGAACCAATTCTGTCACAATAGTAACATTTTAATTTTCTTTCCCAGACAAAATGCTATTTGCACCACTTTCCCATAGCAAAAAAGCAAAAATAACATTTTTTTCAAACTTTTATCATTGTTTTTAAAAAGACATTTTAATTTTAAACAAAACTTGTTCCTTTAAATTCTCCTCTTATCAAAAAGACATCAAAATTAACAATTTATTTGGTATCTAGCATTTATAAATGTAAGAATAAACAACTTTTTTAAAAGTTAAAGAGTATAAAAACATTAACCCTACCTACAAAATATAGTTTAATTATCTACAATTAAAACAATATAATTTTATTAAAAATGTTTTAATAAAACTAACATTAAAAAATATTTGGTTAGAATAATTTAACTTTGTCATAGAATTTTACATCCTATTAAAGGCCCATGATTGTTTAGGGCACAGGTTTCTTGTCCAATGTTTTACCTCCCTTTTAAAGTTTAAGAAATATACAAATATAGTTATGATACATTTATGTGCAATATTTATTTCTTTTGTAGTGTATCTAGTAAAAAAAAATATATTTAATTCAAATGCCAATAAAAAGTTTCAATATTATTGAAAGGAAAATCAGGACATTTACCTGCAACTTTACAACAAAATTTTACAGCTTCTAAAAAAATCTTGCATTGATAATTTCAAAACATAAGGTACTGATAAGCTGTTAAAAAAATCGACACACAATGTATAAAACAAAACAAACATGAAAAATAATTCACAACTCATTTCCTGATGGACATAATTATTAAACAAATATGTTTAAACATTACAAAAATGATTTAAAATGCATAGAACTATTTCTTCATTCACTAAATGCAAATTTGCAGGGAAAGTTACTTTTATTTTCTTAAATCACATGTTTATTGTTCAAAATTAGGCCATCCTTAAAATTGTGTTTGTTTGCCACTTCTGATCCTTACAGTTTTATATGGTCAGGAGGTCTAGGAAAACCTGTTTCCTCTATTTTTTTCTGTCATACCTGTGCACAATGATAGCAAAAAAAAGTTTGATTTTAGACCTTAGACTATAGATTTATTATAATCTATTTAGACTTGTTACGAAAACTGTATTTCAACATTTTCTCAGTTGTCTCCCTGGACTTAAAATTGACTTGACATGTGACCTTAGGTAAGGTATTGTACCGACAAAATAAATAAAGGTCATAATTCCAGAGAAAAGAGACAGTTATATAAATCAACAGTCCAATTGACAGTCAGTTCTAACCCTGAGTTGTACCTAAATGTAGTACCCTGTACCCCACCCCAAATTCCTAAAACAAAAACATTTTCAGATATGGATGATCAATACAGTTTTTGCCTTTTTTATGTGAATGTCATCACAAAGTCTGTGTACCTAACTAAGCTATCAGTCAATAAAATCTCAATACTAATATTGATCAAACCTCTTTTGTATATATTAAACATGAAGTCTGCAAAAAAAGGTTGTAACAATAGCTTATAGCAAATCATAACACAGTAATTTGTACAAAATCATTTCTCTAACTAGTTATTCAAAAATAATTTAATCTTAAATTATTAAAAATTAAATACAGCACTGATTCCCTAAATTTTAATCAAAGAATTGATTTTTCACCTTATGTACATTGCTTTCACTCAGAAAATATTATTTACACTAGACAACACTTTCAGTTCTGTTATTTTTCACTTGCTGAGCTTGTGTTGGGGCTGGTTTTGCTGGTTCTGTCATGGTTTTAAGCTGATCCCAGGATGACTGTTTTCTCATAGCATTGTCCTGTCGACCAGCTGGTATGTTCACAGGTCTGAAATTTGCATTTTCATAGTCTTGAGGTTGCCCACCATTTACAGCATTTTCATAACTGTCTACGCTGTTTGTTTGTGGGGGCGGAGCTTGCATCTGATTTATAACCGGTTGTATAGGTCGGTAGAACTGGTGCATGTTATATGCTGGAGGCTGAAAAGAAGGTCCGTTTCCTTGCATACTAGCAGGATTGTTTGTGAACACTGAGCTAGCGATGGAACCAGTCTCTGTTTCATCGTCTCTTTTATACTCACCATCTGTCATTTCACATAATTTTTCCCAGTTTGACTTTCTCGGTTGTCTAGGCGCTGCTTGATTCGGTGGAGGCCGTGGTGGCATCATTTGCTGAGGTGGAAGCTGCTGCTGTGATGGGGCAGGATATCCTTGGTAACCCTGTGGTACACCTTGCATAGGGTATTGGTATCCTGCAGGCACTCCTGGCTGCATGGGGTAACCAGGTTGAGCCATCATGGGATATCCTGGCTGAGGAGGGTATGGATGAGGAGCAAAGCCCTCTGATTGTGGGTAGTATGGGTTTTTAGGATCAGCCAGGTTTTCTGTTGAACCACTGGTAACAGTTTCATCAAGATTTGTAGCTGCACTGGTAGATTTCCTGGGTCTGGGTTTTGGTTTAGGTTTGGGCTTTTCCAACTCCTCTGTATGTAGCATATCAGGCACACTTTTTGAGCGTTTTGTTCCAGTTTTCCCTTTCTCCTTCCCTACTTCATCCAACTTCTCAGTTGACTTTGTCTTCTTCTTTTTCTCTTTCTTAGCAGTCTGTGTAGCTGATGAAGACAAACTTTTTGATCTCCTTTTCTTTTTCACCAAACGTTTAGATTCGAAAATAACAGAATCTTCAATTCCAGTCTGCGTTGCTGTTTCACGCAGGGTTTGTGTCGCTATTTCCTTAACACGACGACCAAGATCATTCTCAGATCTATACATTCGGTCACGATCTCTCCGAGACAGTGGTTTCTCATAACCATCAAAATCACTTTCATCAGAATAAAATTCATCATCATAGCCTCTTGTATGGCGACCAATAGAAATGTCATCTCTAACATGTGATGCTACCGATTCCGCGTATGAGCAGTTTGAGCCTTTTCTTCTCCGTCTTCTATCATACAGTGAAGATCGTGAAGAGTAAAGAGACGTCTTTGATGTAGACCTTTTCAAATCTGTAAAAATTTAATTATTCTAAATTCATCAGAACTGATTAGCAAGAACAATACGTTCTAAAGATATATTTCTTTAATACATTTTTATAGTTTTAAAATTTGTATGCACTTTTAAAATATAGAATTACATGAATACTTAAATTTCAAAATTAAGAAAAAGGAAATAACAATTGACCATTCTCATCTTCATATAAATATCCTTGCTACATTTCAATCTTGTCTTTTTTATTATCTTTGCATATGTAATTTTACCTAATTTCAGAATTGTCTTTTTTATCATTTATGTAAATATATTTAATTATTTAAAGCTATTTGCTCAAAGCTCATAAGACGCATGTATTTACCCAAATAAATTACATATATCTTTCTTACTAACATTGTAGGCAAAACAAATAGATAAACTAAAGACACAAATTTTAATGAGCTAAATCAATGGACTTACTACTTGGTAGATCAAGATCTTCAAATGAACCATACATAGAGGGTGTTGTTGGGCGTGAGTCAAGATGATCTGCACTCCGCCCCCTCCGATGGCTAAATCCTCGACCTACCAATACATGCATAAATGTTACAACGAAATCTTGATACTTTGAAATATGTCAATCTTATTTTTCGGGTTGTGTTTTAAGTCACAGACACTGTAAAGTTCATAATGACAACTTTCAAAACTACCGATTGTCAAAATAAACCTCAGGTATCCCTTTGTACTTGAGTAGGCATGAACAAATTTTTACTTCTCCAGAAAAATTCCACATTATATGATAAAAATGTTTTAGAACAACTGTTTCTGATAAAATTTATGCTTTTAACTGATTGAAACAACGTGTGCATCATATACGAGGGTTGTCCCAATATTCTGTGACAAGATTGTTTAAAAGCTAACTAAAATAGGTACGAATTTGATATTTTAAAATGTTATAAACCCATATAATTGAAACATTTTCACAAACTAACATAGAAAAATATCAACAATCAACAAACATATGCCGTAAATCCATGGCAACTATCTGAATCGCGGCGCACGTCAAACGTCAAAGACGGCGTTAAATCTATATAAGGCGACTTTCTTAAATACTCTCAATGGCTTTCAACGCAAAAATGGTGCAGCTTTACCCATAAATCGCCAATTACAGACTTAAATCATATGTGGTTGTTAAAGTCTGTTGAATGTTTGGATGGCTTACATTAATTTTTGCTTCATGCAAACATCCGGTCTGGTTGCACCTGCTTTTAGCTGTAGGAAATAGGCGACGGAGTCCGGTCTTCCTATTCATGCTTTCCTTATTTTTGCTTTTTGTAGCGCAGAACTCTGGTTCCGTTCATGCCTTTAGTACACAAATGCTAAGGATATGTTGCTAAACTGTTCTATTTGGTGTATATTTGTTGAAAATCGTAACATGTGTCATCTCGAAATAGTCACGTAACCTGAGTGACCTGCATTGTACACAATGGAGTGACCTGTTCTCTGCGCCGCAAATTCTTCAAACGTCGCCATTTTAACTTTCTTATTTTCTATGAGATATTTTCATTTATCCGTAGCCTGTTTGTTTCTTAAGTTATTTAACTAAAATTTTCTGAGATGATGTAAATATAGCAGCAGAGGAAGTCAACTTGACATCGTGCAGACACATCATCAGATATTTGAAATATATGTAATTACTTTTAGCCTATTCATAACAAAATATAAATTATTTGACGTGCGCCGGCAACTCAATCCAATGTCGTTAATACTGAAAATTTCTTAGTAACTAGAGTAAATATTTTGTAAATGATTTGTTGTAATGTTAAATAATAAACTTACCGGTTATATGTGTGAAATATTATCTATTGGCGTTAAAAATAAACCGTCTATAAAATTTGTCACAGACAACCCTCGTATATAGTGTAAAAAGTATATCAAAGTAATTCAATTCATATAAATCTGCACATAAAAGTTAAATACCTGAACTTTTCCCTGGCACTCTTGGTGATTTTCTTCCATTTGGCCTCTTACTATATCTGCCAGAACCCATTTTTTCAAATGGATCATTCTGGTCTCTGTTATTTTCCAGGAATCTGTCTCTTTGATTCCTTGGAGCAGGCTCATTATCTAGCATCTGTCCGGCGGACGCTATCCTATCCCTCCCAGACCTCGGACTCGCCTTCAGCTCAGGGTCCAACGTACTTGAAACTGACTGTGTTTGTTTCTTACGACCTTTTGGACCTTTCCTGTCAGGCCTCAGAGAATGTGTTGTATCCGTTTTCTTTTTCTCTCCGCCACTTTTTGGGACAGCTACTTCCGTAGATGAAGCAGTACTGTTATCATCGTTCATACGTCTACGATCTATCTCACCAAGTTCGTCTGATGAAAATGATGAACTCCTTGGTTGTCGACCGATAGCGGCAAGTTTTTGTTTCTTTTCTCTCTTTGGGGATCGCGATGCAGGAACAGGTTGCATAGATGGGCGTGAAATATTTTCTTGTGATGATGGAGGAGTGGGCGCATTCCCAAATCGCTCAAATGAAGATGTCGAAGAAATTCTTTTGGCTCTCTCAGTAGCGTCTCTTTCATTTTCTTTGAATGAGTTTCTGAATTTAGGATTTGAGTGCAGAGCATTCAACACAGAATTATTCTGTCTACCTTCAGTAGTCTTTTCCTTATTCGGTTCATAATTATTTCCCCTAAAATCACTTTTGTTTCCGGTGTTCATTAAAATGTCCGGTCTAGGGGGAGGAGGAGCAACCGGAATATCAGATGAACTTTTATTCCGTCCAAATCCTGTATGCCCGTTTTTTCTACTTGAGTCAGTTTTCTCATCACTACTATCAGAAGGAGCTAATAATTTTTTCTTTGACATAGGTGATCCCTTCATACTTTCATTAGTATATCCAACACTTACACTGTTTGACTGATTTTCAAACTCTTCCCTTGACTTGTGCATAATGAATGGCTGACGATTAGCACGATATTTCCTAAAGCAGCAGATGCCTACACATGATGCGATCAAAATGACTCCAAATATAGAACCAACGATACCTATAACCATTCCTACAGCTACAGGATTAGAGTCTGACGGCAGTGGATAACGTTCATCTGGAAAAAGATAATAGGAAAATAATCCAATAAAATAAACTGTTACTACATTTCTAAACACGTTACCACTGAAACCCCCCAAAAAAGAAGATCTTTACTTTTCAATTTTCAAAAAATTTGCAAGAAATTTTTTGTTCAAAAAAATTATAATGATGCAAATTGCATACTGCTTTCAATATTGACAACCATAACAATAAATAATACAAGAAAACATGTCAACAAAATTAGTGATTTTTACAGCACATTTGAATTTATGTTTAGCTAATTCACTATTTTGCAATATTCTTTGTTATTAATTAATGATCCTGTAACACAATTTTTTATGGTTTTAAATCATAAATATGATGCTCAAATTAAGATTTATCAACATTGTAGGTTCCAAAAAGCATTATTTATAAAGATATTACCAAAATTAACATCATGTAAATAAGGGGAGGTAATAAAAAATTTATTTTCAATAAAGTTTAAGTCAAATTTTACAATAAGAAATGAATGCATATAGATCTATTTTAATGATTACAGATAATATGCACAAATATTTGCAGTACATATTTTACATATTGTTCGATGTTTGAAAATTGTTTTATTTGCATAATTATGTACATATATAATTTCGCTTAGTGTGGTTTACCACTTTGATCACAACAAACAGGATCTTGAAGCAGTAACTGTTATATCTACTGCAATGTGAGGTTAATCATTTGTCATTGCGAGACTTTTTACCTTGGGATATCATAGTATCTATAATATACTTTCTTATCTGCTCAATAAAAGCTCTATTTACTAATTATTAGTCATAATTGTTGATCTATTACTTTGCACTAATTTATGTTGTCTTTATAATTAAATTAAAATCAATATTTATATATTTTTTAGGATCTTTCTAATAAACAGGGATTTTTCTTATAAGCCAAAACACTAAAATTATGAAAAAATAAAATCAATAGAACCGAAGCACCTAAAAATGGGGAATCACATCAAATTGTAATAATATATAATTCAATACAACACTTTTACAGTTACAGCTACACAGTGCACATAACCATGTACAACAGAGTGATCAATGTGCTGTGACATTACAGATATATTTACAAAGTTGTAACTGTAAAATAGCAAAATAAGAGGGAAAAACCCGAACTCTGCCAAGTTATGGAGTATCTCCTTAAATAAATTTGTATAAGCTTACCTCTGACCGCTGTTATTTTGAGCTGGAAGCCATAATCATTGGTATTTACAGTGGTCCTATGTAGTGTCAAGGTCACACTTCTTTGGTCAGCTGTATACAAAGAGGGATTATCACCACAACTGTATTTGGTCTGTTTTGAAGAGAAAATGTAGATTTTGTGAAAATAATACACCAGTAAATTGTGACCATAAAAGTCCCCAACCCCTAGGCAATAGCAGGGAAAATTTTCAAAACCTTGCTGTGGTAAAGGCCTTCTTGTCCTGTAAGGGACCGTTGGAAAGTTAAAATGCCCCTGTAAGAATGTAAAACTACGCTCGTTTTTACTGCTAATTCCCCCAACTATGCAACAGGGTTGGAGGACCCAGATTTCAACTGACCGACAGTATAAGATGCATCTAAGGTACTACAAAACATTAACCTGACTTTCAACAATTAGGTTTTTTGACAAACTACAGCAATTTGGATGGGGAAAATAATAGAATTTTTAAATTGTTTCTAAAACAAGCATTTAAATTTTGTACTTAATTCAATTTTATTTATCATTTTGTGGATATGACGCAGATCAACTGATCTCAGCATCTTAATAAATTAAATGACAACATTACAGTATAAACCCTTAAAAAATTATTTCAACGTACCATTTCACCACCCGCATCTCCAGATAGATACAGTTTCACATCACAATCATTGACAATAAAACTTTCAAAGTCAACTCTTATAGTGGCATCATTGTCAGCCGTTTGAAAATTTATTGTACATCCAGTCTGAAATAAAGTTCACTGGTTTTAGACATACTGAACAACATAAATAATAGTCTTTCACCAGCACTCAGCATTACCTTTCTCATAATTATAAAGATAGCAAAATTAATCAAAGCACAGAAGGCGCTGAATTTGTTTGGGTCTCAGAATGTAAGAAAAGTGCAGGTTGTGAGATTATATGTATAGTGCCACCAATGCTTTCCAGCGTTTTAATTGTAGTAAATTGGCTATAAGACTTATTGCAACACTGATATTCAATCCAATGTTTATTTGACTTAAACAATTTAAAAAAACAAGAGCTGTCTGTAGGACAGCATGCTCGACTATTCTAAGTGCTTGATAGTAAAAGAGCCTTGATATTGTTAAATTTTTTAAGTTCACAAAAGGGCTAATTTTTTTTTATAAATTCATGTTATAGGCCTTAGAGAGAGTCTAATTATACAGAATTGGGTTGACTATTCGGAAGGTAATGTCACAAGGGTTTTTAATTGAGTATAATAATACTAATTACCTATGAATACATAAATTTGACAGAAAAGGTACAAAGGCTTGTTATTAAGATGTTTTATCAAGTAAATCACTACTTTATTATTATGAATGCATAAAATTGTCCAAAAAAAGGCACAAACCCTTCAGTAGTTATTGAGATAACAGCTTACAAGCAAAACTTTATCATGAATTTCTTAGTTGAAAAAGGGGAGAAAAATCAGCCTAAATGCAAGATAGAATTATGGATCTTTGTCAGTGACCTACAATTATGACCCTAAATGCATATGTGAAGTTTTAAATAAATATCTTTAATAGTTATTGAGATATGTAAAACTTGCATGTAAACATTAACCAAGAGACTAAGTAGAAAAGGGGATATGAATCAGCCTTAATGCAAGATAGAGTTATGGAACTTGGTCAGTGACATACAATTATGACCCTCCAATTATGACCCTAAGTGCATGTGTAAAGTTTCAAGTAAATATCTTTGAAGACCGTTAACCTTTAACCAAAATTTCTAAGTTTCAAAGGGGTAAATAATTCTGCAAATATTGCAGATAGAGTTATGCAATTTTGCAAACTGATGTACATTGTTACTATAAATAAGTATTTTAAATTTCAATTGATTATCTCAAGCAATAATTGAGATATTTGACTTGACAAAAAACTTTAACCAAAATTTCTAAGTTCCAAAGGGGCATAATTCTGTCAATATGGTAGGCAGAGTTATCCAACTTGTCAATCTGATGTACATTGTTACTATAAATAAGTATTGTAAGTTTCAATTGAATATCTCAAGCAATAATTGAGATATTTTACTTGACAAAAAACTTTAACCAAAATTTCTAAGTTAAAAAGGGGCATTATTCTGTCAATATTGTAGGCAGAGTTATCCAACTTGTCAATCTCATGTACCTTGTTACTATAAATAAGTATTGTAAGTTTCAATTGAATATCTCAAGCAATAATTGAGATATTTGACTTTACAAAAAACTTTAACCAAAATTTCTAAGTTAAAAAGGGGCATAATTCTGTCAATATTGTAGGCAGAGTTATCCAACTTGTCAATCTGATGTACCTTGTTACTATAAATAAGTATTGTAAGTTTCAATTGAATATCTCGAGTAATAATTGAGATATTTGACTTTACAAAAAATTTTAACCAACGCAGACGCCGACGCGGACGCTGACACCGACGCCGACGCGACTACAATAGCTCTCATATGTTTCGAATAGTCGAGCTAAAAATGAGTTGCCTTTACTGGGATTTGAACTCCAGACCTCTCGCTTCCTAGGCGAGCGCGAAAACCCTTCAGCCACGGTGAATTTATATGTGAACGTCCCGAAGAAAACCAAATTATTCTAAATTAGGGCTTGTAACGACTTTAACTGTTGTTTAACACAGATGTAAATAATCCTGGAGCTTACTATAAGCATGTATATTTATAAAGAATCAAAGGGATGCAAGTTCTGTGGTATTTTCTGATCTTTGCAATCTTAATCGTACTGTATATCTGTATGCATTTTCCTGTATAAGTTTATTTTTATGTATTATAATTAATTTTGCAAGGCACCAGAGTTTGATACATACGGAATTCTGCATACCTAGAGATGCATCAAAAAATTATTTATGTTCATTTTTTAAGACAGTCACACTTTATCCTTGCATATCATGGCTACTTCCTTAACAAAGACACTTAAAAAAGAATTAAAGAAAAAAGTTTCCTCGACTTGGATTTGAACTCCAGACCTGTCACTCCTTAAGCGAGCGCGTTACCCCTGCACCACGGAGGAGTTATACAAATAATGTCTGAATAACATCAAGTCATTCTAGATTTAGAACTTCCATTGCATTTCGGGTTTGTAATCCTTATTAATTTCGAGGTATTTTGTTCAGGATAAACCTGTTGTTTAAAATTGAAGTAAATAATTTAGCGAAAATCTTCTCGCCCAAACAGTCTGACATGTAGAATCTATATATACCACTACTCGGTTTGTGTAGTATTCGGTAATCGACATCGCTAAAAGTAGTATTTTCATTGATAAAATCATATTCATCCGCTTTATTTGTGATTGTGCATTTATTGACAATTCTATTAGCCAACGCTATTTTTAAACTTTGAATGCGTTGTTATTTGTTGGATACTTGTAACAAAATAAAAATATTTCTTTCTTTTAAATCGCTAGTTTTAAGCTGTTTAGAGAACTACTTGTTGTTAGGTTTGTTGTGAACTCTTGTGTCAGAGATTGAATGTCCGCTTTGTATTTACTTATTTTCGATCAGAAATTCAATAAAACAATATTAGAAATCTTCGACCATTCGGGAATTATTTTGCTTGAAAATTAATTCACCTGTCTTTGACCATCTTTACGCAGTGATCTCCCCTGAATTTTTCGGCGTTAGTGTACATATAAAGGGAAGTAACCGCTTCAGAAAAGTGGACTACTTTCGGCGTTTGCAATTGACAGCATTAGACTCTGAAATTTCGCTACCATTATTTGTTTGGTCTGACGACCCAAACAAATAACAAGAGGGCCATGATGGCCCTGAGGTCGCTCACCTGTATATAGGCCCCCCCAACCCCAATCCCCCCTCCCCCAATGTTGCAGGGCCAATTTAACCCAAGTGCTTTTATTTGCACAATCTTGGTAGACACCCATAAGAAGATGTTTCATGCTAAACATCTAAGCTCTAGCTCATTGGGCTTTTTAAAATAAGATTTTTTTTAAAGTTTTTACTATACACATATAGTTAAAAACAATGACACCCCTGGGGCCGGGCCAGTTTTGACCCCAGGTCTTTTATTTAAACAAACTTTGTAGACACTCACTAAAAGATATTTCATGCTTAATATCTTAACTCTAGCTATTTGGGTTTTTTCAAAGAAGATTTTTTAAGTTTTTGCTATACACATATAAGGAAAATCAATGACCCCCAGGGCGGTGCCAATTTTGACCCCAGGGCTTTTATTTGAACAAACTTCGTAGACACCTATTAGAACATGTTTGATGCTAAAAATCTTAGCCATAGCTCTTTGATTTCTTTAAAAGAAGGTTTTTTAAGTTTTTATTATATGCATATAGGGAAAATCAATGACCCCCTGGGGCGGGGCCAATTTTGACCCCAGGGCTTTTATTTGAACAAACTTGGTAGACACTCACTAGAAGGTTTCATGCCAAATATCTAAGCTCTACCTCTTATGGTTTTTGAAAAGAAGATATTTAAAGTTTTTTCTTTCGGTTGCCATGGCAACCAGAGTTCTGCATGGAATTAAATTCTTTGAACAATTTTTAAAGGTGACCACCAAAGGAACATTCCTGTGAAGTTTGGATGAAATTGGCTTAGTGGTTTATGAGGAGATGTCATTTAAAGTAAAAGTTTACGGACGGAAGACGGACGGACGACGGACGGACGGACGACGGACGGACGCCGGACGAAAAGCGATCACAAAAGCTCACCCTGTCACTTTGTGACAGGTGAGCTAAAAATTAATTAAGTTACCTACCTGTGTAGATGAGGATGTGTCTCTTGTTTTTGCATGAACAATTATTGACTGACTTCTCCCTATCTCCTGTACACCTATATATCCACAATCAAGGGAGGAATCCATATAATCTAAAATAATTAACCAAATTTGTAAAATTAGAACAACATTTTTATACATATCTGCCCAATAAATAATATAACAACTAACTGGCAAATCATTTTCAATCTATATATGAATTTTTAACAAAATTTAAATAAATCACCCAGTTTAAAAGACTCATGACACTGGTAAAAACTTTAAAGCCAGGATGTAATTAATTAAATAATATCCAATATAGTGTGTGTGACAAGAGGGATGAGGGGGGTTTCCAGTGGATGGTTGGCATCCATTGGCCCCTTCAGCCTTGATGCTGAGACTCTCATTAATTTTTGTAAAAACCATTATTTTATTTCCAAAGTCATCCACTACAGCATTTTAAGATTCTTATAGTTAAGGCGGGATTGCATGACTCCTCTTGTAACAACTGGCATCCCCCTGCAAAAGCCACCTTTGAAAGCACTGCTCATTTTGTACTACCTTTGCCAAAATTGATAGAACCTAATTTTTCTTCACAACTGATCCTCAAAGTAAGAGAAATCATTCATTTTTAAATTAGTACTGCTTATGCTTTATAATATGAATTAATCAAAACAATAAAAATCAGTATAAGCTATAAAAGGTATGTTGTAGGTTTACTTACAGACACTTTTAGCCGCCATTGTGTTACCTAGCAACAAACAAAATGTTACTATAACAATGGAAACATCCATATTTTTTCTTCTTTTACTTCTCATGATGCAGATTGATATGTAAAGACTACATAATTATTTCCCTGAAAATAAAAACAAAAAATATATAATATGACAGTGTCACAGTATATCAGTATTGCTGCTTCCTTAGTATTTTAATCAGTGATTGACGTATAGTGAAAGAAGCCATGCCCCAATATTATGAAGCAAATTTTTCGAAGTTCTGCCTGAAATCTCA